ATTTGTACTTTTATAATTAAAAGGCCTATCTTTTATTAAATAGATTTTTAATTTTATGAAATGTTTTAAAATACGAATGATATGATTCTTGAGTAAATTTTTTCCCTTAAATAAAAATTGAAATGATTTTCAGTTCTTCTATTTCATAACAGATTTAAATCAAATCAAATCTAATTAAATATAGTTTTTAAATAATTTCAAACAAATTGTCAGAAGACTATATATGACATATGCCACAAAAGGGCATATTGTAAACCAAATAAAAATAGTTTATCATACAATTTTGTTATATAAGATAATAGACAAATAGTCGTTATCATAAATTATAATGACCTTCTATCTCACTTTTTGTTGGGTCAAGTCGGACCTTCAAATCAATTGCGGAAGTGAAACAGTAAAATGCAAAAGGAAAGAGATGGGGAAGAACACAGTCAATTTGTTTAACGTCGGAAAACCTTATCCAATGTGAAGAAGTAAAAATTAACGAAACAATAGTCCAGAATCAAACTTCCACTATAAGAATAATGGGTTACAACAGTCAAACTTCCCTAGTTTTTCACTAGAGGTACAATCAAGTTTCACCAAATATGATGGTAATATCAAACTTCTCTAAAGAGGTCTCACCAAACTTCTCTCTAGAGGTATTCAAATTCTTTTTCTCATGGAGAATTTCTTCATCTCACTTTGTTGATCTCATCTCTTCCTCTATTTATAGATGGCTAGGAGGAATATCTTCAATGTTCTAGATTCTTCTTCATTTAATATGGAGAATTTCAATACAACTCTTCTATGCATTGGAAGTTGTATCTAATTAAAGAGAAATAATGCAACACTTTTCACCTATCCCAACCACCAAGTAATTCTACCAACTTCATTTTAATTATAGTCTTTTTCTTTCATGGCAAAAATATGCAATGCTCAATATATTTGCTTTGTCTTAAAAGTCCATCGAGTTGAAAATAATTTAATACAGACATTCCATTTATCATTAGTAGTGCTTAAGGAATATAGCAATATTGGAATATTTTCTTTTGACGAATGAAGCTTACGAGAGAAGAATTCGTTTTATCTAAGGTAAGATCGAATACAACACAAACTACGTGCAAAAAAAGAAAAAGAAAAAAAGAATACATCACAAACTTAACCAAGAAGATACAATTAATAATACTAAAAAATAAACTACTTGATCGAATATTGATGCATTGTCTCCATATATATGCTAATAAGCAACCGTGCATGCATCCATTCCAACTCCTTATAATCCAAGAATGAACATCAGCTATAATTGAAATGCTGCATTAAAGTTGATTACTTCCGCGCTACGTCTAGAATTATAAAATTGAGAACTGATTTAATTTATATGTTATTTTTTTTGAAGAGTTATAAAATAATAAATAATTTAATTTTAATAAAATGGAATCTAGTTTAAAAATGTAAAATAATAAGTAATTTAATTTTGTTATTTTCCTAGACCTAGAATACCTCTCACTCAAAATTCTAGAATAAGAATTTATTTAATTTTGAAATCTTGTTAATTTTAGTATGTGAATATAAAAATTTATTGGAATTTAATTAAAGTTGGGTGATTGGGTATGTAAACCAATCAAATTAAATAGTTCACAAGCATATTTGATTATGAAATTAATTACATTTATTTCCCATTTTATAATGATTCCAAAAACAATGTTTTCTTATACGCGTTTCACATTTACCATAATCGTCCCTCCCATTTTGTAAGTAAATCTATCTATGGTCCCAGGTAGTTTATACGCGTTTTCCTATATCTTGTCTACTACACATCTTTTATTTTTATTTTTTGAAAATATACACATCTTTTATTTAAACTCCTATAAACTATGTATATATATATAGGTTGGCCAAGTCTTTCTAAACCAACATCATCACAAGGAAATAGAACCAATTAACGAAACCATGTCAGAATCATTCGTGAGAATTGTTCTTTTGCTATCACTGCTTGCGGTGCTAGTAGCTATATGTGATGCGGGTCTTCTACCCCACAAGGTACATGAGGTAGTGATTAATGATTTGTCTGATAACAAACTTCTAATCCTTCACTGCAGGAAAAGGAAAGGTGGAGATCTTGGAGTCAAAGTGCTTCGTCCTCTTGAAACCTTCGAATTCACTTTCAGGCCACACATTTTCCGCACCACAAAATATTATTGTAGCTTCCAATGGAAAGGTGCCTTTCGCTGGTTTGATTTATACATTAAAAGTAGGGATCACAAACATTGCAGCCAATGCAGTTGGAGTGTTAGAGAGGACAAAATTTGTAGGTTCAACTATAAAACTCATAATTATAGTGATTGTTATGACTGGAAGTTAAAATGAATGCACCATATGTCATGTATGTTCCAGTCATGCAGTTTATTATCAAATAAATAAATTTGGTTTTGATATTGCAATACTGTTGATCTTTGATCATATTGTAAGTGCCTCTAGGCTAATGATTTAAATAAAATGTTTATTTCTGTCTAAACATCAAAACAAATGCAACATCTTTCTTTTACATAAATATTTTTGATCTGATCTTCCCCACAATTGTGATAATGTAATTTATTGTTCATCTTTACTGTTCAATTGTTTTTACTCATGTTGATTATGTAATTTTGCGCTTTAATACTTCCATTAATTAAGTTTATTTTAGCGGAGAGGATAGTTTTGCTATTGGGTTTCTTTTTAACAAAACAGTACTTAATTTGGAAAAGAAGCTTAATCATTCAAAATTTGCAAATAAACTAAAATGAAAGCAACTCTCATAAGAGTCACCCTATCAACATTGACAAATTGCAAGTGACAATATACTGCAATCGTTTTGGTGTTGCTGATCCACTTTCACAATCAGCATCAAGAAGAGGACGCTTCGATAATGACTCCAGTCTTAATTTTTCTATCTTTACTATTATTTTGAACCGTTGGATAGTATCTACATCAATGACTCCTTATGTAATGGATTCCACTAGTTTCTCTCTCTTACTTATCTCTTTGGTCAAAAACTCTCTCTGTTCTCTTCTTTGAAACAAACATCTTTAGGACAAGGAGCTCTCCGTCTTCTCCTGGGTCGATTTAACCATCCCCAAGAGAAGTTGGGTGCTCCATTCATGCTTCTATTGCAAGTTTTTATCTTATTTTTTTCAATTTGTAGTCTCTTAACTAAAATTTGTAATGATAGCGTTTGTAAAGTTATAATGATGTGTTTTCATATGATGTGTTTGTAAAAGCTCTTAACAATGTTTTCATATGATGTGTTTGCTTACATTGGAAAAGTCACAAAGTGACAAGGAAGAGAGAAAATTTTTAACTGAAGAGAGAGAATGTTTGAGCAAACCAAAGAAGAATAAAAAAATATTTAATTCAAGAAAGAAGAAAGAGATAGAACATTTGACTAATTAGGAAAAAGAGAGAGAACGGATAACGTTTGATTAAAGAGAGAGAAAAAGATAGAGAATCTTTGACCAAAGATGGAAAAGAAGAGAGAGAAAGTGGTCAAATTTAATTACCCTGTTTGAAAGCCGTTTTAAAAAATATTTTTTTAATTTTCAGAAAAAAATAAAAAAATTTGTTTTATATAATATGTTTTATAAACAAAATTTAAAAATTGTAACTGTTTTTTTTTTTTAATTAAATTTAGAAAACATGTATGAGTTGTTTTTGTTTTATATTTTGACTTTTAATTTTCAAAATAAAAAATACCAATTTCTATAACTATTCCACACAAAAAAGTTTTAAAAACAAAAAAATCAAGAATATAATCAAATAGACCCAATCAAATTATGTTTTGGAACCATTGATTTGAATATATATGACCCAATAATACAAATGTGATAGTAGAGGCAAGAAGAATAAACTATTAGGGAATATAATGTGCCCCGAATTTAAATATATCAAATATTCATAAATATAATTTCAGTCAATATTTATTTATGTGAAAAATCATTTATAAGTAAAAAGAGTGATTCATTAAAGTAAAAATATATTAACTTTTTATGAATTTAATCGATTTCATAAGAAGTTTTAATCTTACAATTTGTAGGGTTTAGGGTTTAGTCGTGCTTAAGGAATATAGCAATATTGGAATATTTTCTTTTGACGAATGAAGCTTACGAGAGAAGAAGTCGTTTTATCTAAGGTAAGAATACAACAACACAAACTATGTGCAAAAATAAAAAAATAATACAACACAAACTTAACCAAGAAGATACAATCAATAATACTTAAAAATAAACAACTTGATCGAATATTGATGCATTGTCTCCATATATATGCCAATAAGCAACCGTGCATGCATCCATTCCAACTCCTTATAATCCAAGAATGAACATCAGCTATAATTAAAATGCTGCATTAAAGTTGATTACTTTCGCGATACGTCTAGAATTATAAAATTGAGAATTGATTTAATTTATATGTTATTTTTTTTTTTGAAGAGTTATAAAATAATAAATAATTTAATTTTAATAAAATGGAATCTAGTCTAAAAATGTAAAATAATAAGTAATTTAATTTTGTTAATTTCCTAGACCTAGAATACCTCTCACTCAAAATTTTAGAATAAGAATTTATTTAATTTTGAAATCTTGTTAATTTTAGTGAGTTGAACATAAAAATTTATTGCAATTTAATTAAAGTTGAGTGATTGGGTATGTAAACCAATCAAATTAAATAGATTCACAATCATATTTGATTATGAAATTAATTACATTTATTTCCCATTTTATAATGATTCCAAAAACAATGTTTTCTTATTTTAGCTTTCACATTTACCATAATCGTCCCTCCCATTTTGCAAGTAAATCTATCTATGGTCCCAGGTACTTTAATTTATACGCGTTTTTTTATATCTTGTCTACTACACATCTTTTATTTAAACTCCTAAACTATATATATATATATATATATATATATATATATATATATATATATATATATAGCCAAGTCTTTGTAAACCACCATCATCACAAGGAAATAGAACCAACGAAACCATGTCAGAATCATTCGTGAGAATTGTTCTTATGCTATCACTGCTTGCGGTGCTAGTAGCTATATGTGATGCAGGTCTTCTACCCCACAACGTACATGAGGTAGCAGGTCTTCTACCCCACAAGGTACGTGAGGTAGTGATTAATAATTTGCCTGATAACGAACTTCTAATCCTTCACTGCATGGAAAGGAAAGGTGGAGATCTTGGAGTCAAAGTGCTTCGTCCTCTTGAAACCTTCGAATTCACTTTCAGACCACACATTCTCCGCACCACTGAATATTATTGTAGCTTCCAATGGAAAGGTGCCTTTCGCTGGTTTGATTTATACATTAAAAGTAGGGATCATAAACATTGCAGCCAATGCAGTTGGAGTGTTAGAGAGGACAAAATTTGTAGGTTCAATTATCAAACTCTTAATTTTAGTGATTGTTATGCGTGGAAGTTAAAATCATGAATGCACCATATATGTTGTATGTTCCAGTCACGCAGTTGGTTATCAAATAAATAAATTTGGTTTTAAGATTGCAGACTGTTGATCTTGATCATATTGTAAGTGCCTCTAGGCTAATGTTTTAAATAAAATAATGTTTATTTCTGTCTAAACATCAAAACAAATGCAACATCTTTCTTTTACATAAATATTTTTGATCTGATCTTCCCCACAATTGTGATAATGTAATTTTATTGTTCATCTTTACTGTTCAATTGTTTTTACTCATGTTGATTATGTAATTTTGCGCTTTAATACTTGCGTTAATTAAGTTTATTTTAGCGGAGAAAATAGTTTTGCTATTGCATTTCTTTTTAATAAAATTGTACTTTGGAAAAGAAGCTTAATCATTCAAAATTAGCAAATAAACTAAAATGAAAGCAACTCTCATAAGAGTCACCCTATGAACATTGACAAATTGCAAGTGACAATATACTGCAATTTTAGATTCGTTTTGGTGTTGCTGATCCACTTTAACAATCAGCGTCAAGAAGATGGCGCTTCGATAATGACTCCAGTTTTAATTTTTCTATCTTTACTATTATTTTGCACCGTTGGATAGTATCTAAATCAATGACTAGTTTCTCTCTCTTCCTTCTCTTTTGGTAAAAAATTCTCTCTGTTCTCTTTTTTGAAACAAACATCTCTAGGACAAGGAGCTCTCCGTCTTCTCCTGGGTCGATTTGACCATCCCCAAGAGAAGTTGGGTGCTCCATTCATGCTTCTATTGCTAGATTTTATTTTATTTTATTTCAATTTGTAGTCTCTTAACTAAAATTTGTAATGATAGCGTTTGTAAAAGTTATAACGATGTGTTTTCATATGATGTGTTTGTAAAAGCTCTTAACAATGTTTTCATATGATGTTTGCTTACATTGGAAGTTACAAAGTGACACGGAAGAGAGAAAAATTTTAATTGAAGAGAGAGAATGTTTGAGCAAAACAAAGAAGAATAAAAATATATTTAATTCAAGAAAGAAGAAAGAGATAGAACATTTGACTAATTAGTTAAAAGAGGGAGAACGGAGAATGTTTGATTAAAGAGAGAGAAAAAAATAGAGAATCTTTGACCAAAGATGGAAAAGAAAAGCGAGAAAGTAGTGAAATTTAATCACCCTGTTTGAAAGCCGTTTTTAAAAATAATTTTATAATTTTCAGACAAAAAATAAAAAAATTCGTTTGATATAATATGTTTTATAAAAAAAAATTAAAAATTGTAAATTTTTTTTTAGAATTAAATTTAGAAAATATATATGAGTTGTTTTTGTTTTATAATATGCCCCGAATAAACTATTAGGGAATATAATGTGCCCCGAATTTAAATATATTAAATATTCATAAATATAATTTCACTCAACATATATTTATGTGAAAAAGCATTTATAAGTAAAAAGAGTGATTCAATAAAGTAAAAATATATTAAATTTTTATGAATTTAATCGATTTCATAAGAAGTTTTAATCTTACAATTTGTAGGGTGTGAAAAAAATTAAATGAATACAACTGATCCGACTTTTATTAAGAGAATCACTTTGTTTTAAACATTTTCAAGAATCAAACCAATTTCTTCAAATCAGTTTAAAAACTAAAATATTTTTCTAAAATTGATTTGGTTCTTGAATGGAATCACTTTATTAATTCGGTTAGGTCCGGGTTAGAAACTGAACTGTAGTACCAGCAAACCTGAATAGAACCAATCGGAATATAAAAAAATTAAATGAATCGAATCAAGTCATGAACCAAATTAAGCCGCACCATATTTTTTTGCGCTCTAATACTTCCAATAATTATTTAACGGAGGAAATAGTTTTGTTATTGCGTTTCTTTATTAAAAGAAAAAAAAAGTAGTTTGGAAATTAAGCTTTTTCATTCAAAATTAGCAAATCAATTAAAATGAAATCAGCTTTTTTTTTAAGATATTCTAATTGGTCCATCGTTTTGTAACTAGTCTAATTCAGAGTGGGTCTCAGAGTTAAGGTTTTAAGCTCATCCCAAAGACGATACTGAAGAGGATTGAACACATACTCTTACCCTCACCTGCTCAATTCTTTGGCGCTAACTGAGCTACCATCATTTGGTAACAAAATCAACTCTCCGTGTATATCAAACTCACATTATGTCTATATTAAGAGCCTATTTGGATTTTTTTTTTTAACTAGAAGCTACTTATAAAGTAAATCTAAAAAAAAAAATTAAAAACTTTAGCTTAAAAGTTATTTAAATGCACATATTTCAAGAAAAATCTCTCTTCCTATCACTATAGCTCTTTATTTTATTTTTTTAAAAAATACACAATTCAAGAAAAACTGATACGAGCTTAAAAAAAAACTCCTCTTATGAACTTTTAGCTTTTAATTTTTTTTCATTATAAAAAAAAAAGCTTTTCATTGTAAGAACTTTTCTTAAAATTAATTTATCCTAGTTTTTATTTATAAGTAGCTTCTAACTTAAAAAAAAAAAAAGTATCCAAACATGCACTAAATGAGCATGTGAACATTGACAAATTGCACGGGACAATACACTAATTTTAGATTCATTTTGGTGTTAGTGACCCACGTTCACAATCAACATCAAGAAGGCGCTTCAATTATTAACAATGATTTTCTATCTTAAAATTTAAATATACCAAATATTCATAAACAAATAGATAAAGTAAAAATATATGAAATTTTATGAATTGAATCTATTTCATAAGAAGATTTAATTTAACAATTTGCACATTTGATGAAATTCAACGTCGATTTTGAAACATATGTGTTTGATTTCTTTTCCATTTTAAACAAGATATTTAAACCAAATATAAAATGGCAACACTAAATATTAGCAATACTTCTTCACATAATTGTTTTTAGATTCGGAAATTTTTAGTACTTCTTTTACTTCGGATCTCTTATAAATACCAATAAATCCCAGCTACCTCGATTTAACTGAGGAGAATTAATATTTATTTAAAACAATTACATTTACTAGTTTATATACATTTTTTTATCTTATAGTAAGCAAGGCGAAGTACATTCCCTTTTGTCTTGGTATTTTGTAATGTCTTTTTTGTGCAGGAAAACACTATGTTTGGATATTTAATTTTTGGGAAATACTACTCTCATTTTACATGAGGTAGTTATCTCATTTTCTCTCACATCGAAAATCGCACCCCTTCTTTTTTCTTTTTCTTTTTTACTTTTTAATGGTGGACCCCACTTAAACTCTCTCTATAGCATGAGATAATACTCTCATGTAACATAAGATTAATATTCCCCTTAATTTTTAGTAGAAATGGAGTGGAAGCAGGAATAGAATTATCAAACCGTTTACCAAAAAATAAAATAAAATTATCAAACCATTGTTTGGGTAATGGACAGAATGGTAAAAGTGATAATTAAATAAAGTTGTTCTCTGTCTCCTACCCCAAATTGCAGAAAAGAAAATGGATTCGATCAAGTGACATTCCATTGTATCATATTTTAACAATTCAAACAAGGAAAATTAATTTGATTCATTTTTATTCTCATTCATTTGTCTTGTTCTATCATTCTGAAAATAGTACATTTTTTATTTTCAGTTCATTTGTTTTCACTAGTAATAATTAAATATCAATTTATTTTTACTTTATATCTTATTTTATGATGATATGAATAGAAGATTTGTACGCAGAATTAATACACATGAAGTTAAGGAGGCTTTAAAGAGGATGAAGACTAATAAAGCCTTGGGGCCTGATGGTGTCCCTATTGAAGTGTGGAGAGGCCTGGGGGATGTGGCAATAAAATGGTTGACCAATCTTTTTAATAAGATTCTCCAGACGAATAAGATGCCTGATGTATGGAGGAAAAGTATGATTGTGCCTATCTACAAAAACAAGGGAGATATACAGAATTGTTCAAACTATAGAGGCATTAAGCTAATGAGTCATACTATGAAGTTGTGGGAGAGGGTTATTGAACATCGCTTGAGGAGAGATACCAAGGTTTCTGTAAATCAATTTGGATTTATGCCAGGAAGATGTACCATGGAAGCCATTTTCTTGATGCGACAACTAATGGAAAGATACCGAGAAAAGAAGAAGGACTTGCATATGGTGTTCATAGACCTTGAGAAAGCATACGATAGGGTTCCAAGGAAAGTTTTATGGTGGGTCCTGGAGAAGAAAAATGTTCCATTAAAGTATGTAAAGGCAATCAATGATATGTATGATGGGGCTACTACATGTGTAAAAGCTTGTAACGGATCATCAAGTTATTTTCCTATCACGGTAGGTGTACACCAAGGGTCGGCTCTAAGTCCTTACCTCTTTGCCTTAGTTATGGATGAACTAACAAAAGATATTCAAGAGGAAGTGCCATGGTGTATGCTTTTTGCAGACGATATTGTGCTTATTGATGAGAGCAAGGAGGGTGTTAATAGAAAACTTGAATTGTGGAGAAGCACATTGGAATCCAGAGGATTCACATTAAGTCGAAGCAAGACTGAGTATCTGAAGTGTGAGTTTTCTCTGGTACAAGATGAGGACCAAGAACCTGTGCATCTAAATGGTCAAGAGGTACCCAAAAAAAATGCTTTTAAATACTTGGGCTCCATTTTACAAAACGGTGGAGAGATTGATGAGGATGTAAATCACAGAATCAGAGCAGGGTGGATGAAATGGCGTAGTGCATCTGCATTTTTGTGTGACCGCAAAATTCCCCTGAAGTTAAAAGGAAAATTCTATAAAACGGCAGTACGACCGGCAATGCTATATGGAGCGGAATGCTGGCCAACACATAGGCAACATGAGCATAAGATAGGAGTAGCAGAGATGAGGATGTTACGGTGGATGTGTGGTTACACAAGGATGGATAAGATAAGAAATGAAGATATTCAACGAAAGGTCGGAGTAGTACCGGTAGCCGAGAAGATGAGAGAACATAGATTGAGGTGGTTTGGGCACGGGATGAGAAGACCCATGGATGCTCCTGTAAGAACAGAAGTTTGTTACCAAAAGCTAAACACAAAAAGAGGCAGAGGTAGGCCGAAGCTTACTTGGGGGAAAGTAGTAAAACAAGATTTAATGGAGTGGGATATAGATTGGCGGACAGTATGTCTTAGAAAGGAATGGAGAAAAGCTATAAGTATGGTGGAGGGTTAGACCCGCTGTTATTCCTATGTTCCAGATGGTCCCTTTTTAGTCCTTTTCCCCTTCATTTCCCCCACTTCTTCTTGTCCCTTTCTTTTTTACTTTTATTTATTTATATATACATATATTTTTATTTTATTTTATTTTATTATTTTATTTGTGTATTTTTTTATTTATTTATTAATTAATTTATTTATTTTTTATTTATTTTTTATTTTTTATTTTACTTTTTTTTCAACCTTTTTGTATCTTTCATGTGGGTTCATCTACCACCGACCCCAATTAATTTGGGATAAAGGTGTTGTTGATGTTGATGTTGATCTTATTTTCAAGAATTTCCAAAATAATAATAATGATAAAACAAGTACAATATATGAAATAATAAAAATAAAATGTAACTAACAGATTGATACATAATTTATAACCTATTATTTAACAAATTAGTATGTAATATGATAATATAACATTTTCGATTGATGCACAATTTATAAATATTTAAAGGGGAAATTATTTGTCCTTTTAAATGACACAACTTGTGTCATTTCACTCTCATAAAGAGGTAGAATTCACATCTTTATTTTTTGGGAAAAGTGTTTATCATTTTAAATGACATAAAGTTATGTCATTTTAAGAGAGAGATAGACACAAAATAATATTTTTTATTTAATATTTAAATTAAAAAAACACTCACTTTCTCCTTCATAATTTTCATTTTGTGTGTCTATCTCTCTCCAAAAATGACATAACTTATAACTTATGTCATTTAAAATGATAAACATCAAATCTTTATTTTTTTTGTTCACTTTCTCTCTCCCTTTATCTATCTCTTTCTCTCAGTTAAAATGACACAACTTTATATCCTTTAAAATGATACACATTTTTCCCATATTTAAATTACACATTAATTTTTTAATATTTCATTTCAGAATTATTTTTATAATTTATAAGTTGATTTATTTATATTTTCAATTTAATGAATAAATCATTTATTTATACAATACTATTATTATATATTTTAATTAATTTTTAAAATAAAATATTAATAATAATAGTAGAAATAATAATAAAGTCATTTTTCTTTCTCTTCGTTAAAACAAAATACAAGTATTCTACATTACTGAAAAAAATACAAGTATTCTCTTTTTAAAATAAAACTCTTCTATTCAGGATACAAAAAAAAAAACTCTTCTATTCAATTTTTTCTCGTAAAGTATTAATCTATTAATAAATTGAAGTTGTTTTTGAAAAACTTATGTGTGTTTTTATCCAAAATAAAATGTAAAGCTTGCTAACATGTGGTTTCAGTTATTTTCACCATTTCAGTGTTATATACATATATATATATATATATATATATATATATGGGTAATGTTATATTTACAAACTTTTTGTATACAAACTACACTAAGTATGACCGGTTATACTTCAATCAAGAGTGTATGACCAGTCATACTTAGTGTAATTTGTAAAAAAATTGTGATAGATATCAATATTAAATATTTAATATTGTTAGTTAGTTTGTTACAGTTAGTTTTTAGTTTCTGTTGGTTATAGTCATAGTTAGTGATCCACGTGGATTCTTAGTTAGTTACTTGGTTCCAAAACTATAAATAGAACCAAGCTTCTGTAACTTAATACTTTTGATTCATTTTTCTCAATGAAATACTTTCAATTTATTTTACTTTCTAAGATGGTATCATAGCTCTACAAGGAGCTCTGATATTCGCCGTTTCAATTTCTGCATAACTTCGTTCTCAGAAGTTCCTTTTACACTTCTAGTTTTTGTTCGTTTTAATTCATTTTCATGGAAGGTGATGAAATGGCGCATCGGAGCTCTAGCCTAAACGAAAAAATCAGACGCTATTCCAGTTCAGATGAAGAACAGTAATTCGGTTAAAGCTATTGTTCTTGATATTTCTGATCCAGGAAGTCCCTACTATTTGCATCCAAGTGAGAATCCTGCACTTGTGTTAGTTTCAACATTACTAAATGGTAAGAACTATCATGGCTGGGCTACGGCCATGAAGATGTCTTTGATTTCGAAAAACAAATTTTCTTTTGTCGATGGAACGATTTCTGTTCCTGAAATCTCAGATCCAAGGTTTGCTGCTTGGGAGAGATGTAATACCATGGTGATTTCGTGGTTGCATCGATCAATCTTAGAATCTATTTCACAATCTATTCTGGTTAGATTGTGATGTTGATGTGTGGAACAATTTGAAAGAACGTTTTTCACAGGTTGATGTTTTTAGAATTTCTGATTTACAAGATGAAATCTACAAGTTACAACAAGGTGATAATTCAGTTAGTGATTATTACACAAAGTTGAAGATCTTATGGGATGAACTAGAAGCCCTACAACCTACACCTGCATGTAGGTGCATTCGACCTTGTTGTACGATCTCTTCACAGATAAGAGAAATCCGAGATAGAGATTATTCTATAAGATTCTTAAAAGGACTTAATGAGAAATTCACTCATGTAAGGTCCCAAATCATGCTAATGGACCCACTCCCAAATGTCAATCGAGTATTCTCCTTAGTGACACAACAAAAAAGATAGATGGTGCAGTTAGAAGGTAATATGCCTAAATTTGAAACTCTCAGAGTTTTCTATAATTCTGCTGATCAAGCCTTTGAGAGAGGGCGTGGAACTATTCGTGGAAGAGGTCGTGGATATTCATCTGGAAGAGGGAGAATAGGAGGATCCAGATTATGTACTTACTGTGGAAAAACAAACCACACAGTTGATACTTGTTTTGAAAAACATGGATATCCTCCTGGATTTCGACAGAGGAATCTTACTCACAAGGCAAATGTAGCCACTGTAGCAGATCATGATCAGGAATCAGAAATGCAATCCTTAGTCAATCCTACTGTTGCAGGGAATGACAAATTCACTAAGTGCCAGTATCAAACTATACTGGATATGATTCAACAGCAAATGCAACAACCGAATTCAACTACACACATGAGCAATATGGTGAGGACTAAGGTCTACAACATGAACACTGAACCTACTGCACCTGCAGGTAACTCTATAATCCCATGGATTTTAGACACTGGGACAACTGATCACATTACTTGCTGCTATGAAAGTTTATGTCATGTGAAGAAAATTGATCATGTTCCAATTTCTTTGCCTAATGGAAGCATTATATACTCACATTGTTCTCGTACAGCCTTGCTATCAGATGCTTTAAGCCTGGAAAATGTCCTTTTTGTAGAAAGATTTACAGTAAATCTTATCTCAGTTAACAAACTCATATATGAAGTTAACTGTCGTGTTTTGTTTCAGCATCGAATTTGCATCATTCAGCAGACACCATCAATGAAGATGATTGGTTCTGCTAAGTTAGAAAGAGGGTTGTATGTTCTCAAACAAAATTGTAAGTGTGAAGATAGTTCCAGCAACAATAAGGATAACTTGAAGACAAAGAGAGAAGCTGAATTCTCTAAAACTAGTTATCTAGTAGAAAATTGTATTGATGATGTATGACATTTACGTTTAGGACATTGTTCAAAGGGTGTAATAAGAGTCATGATGCTCCAATATCCTTTCATTAAGTGTAAAGACATTGATAAACCCTGTGACACTTGTCATTTAGCAAGGCAAAAGCATCTGATATAATGCCTTCAATTCATTAAGTGTAAAGACATTGATAAACCCTTTCTTGTTAGTCATACTGTATCAGGTTCAGCATTTGATATAATGCATATTGATATATGGGGGCCATGTTCAATGCCTTCAATTCATGGTTATCGATATCTGTTGACTATAGTAGATGATAATACTCGATTTACTTGGGGAATTCTCATGAAAGCTAAATCTGAAGTGAGGCATCATATTCAATCCTTTGTTTCACTTATTGAAAATCAGTTTCGCATAACCATTAAGGCTTTTCGTAGTGATAATGGGCCAGAATTCTTCATGACTGATTATTTTGACAGAAAAGGAATATTGCATCAAACCTCATGTGTAGAGTCACCTGAGCAGAATAGGGTGGTTGAAAGAAAGCATCAACATATACAAGCATAGCAAGGGCACTTTACTTTCACAGTAAAATACCTCCTGGTCTATGGTCATACTGCATTATGCATGCTGTTTACTTGATTAATCGATTGAATACTCATGTACTGCATAATAAGTCTCCCTTTGAAATGTTGTATAATGAGCCTCCTCTAATCATGTATCTTAAGACATTTGGTTGTTTAGCTTATGCTTCTACCAACACTGCTGGTCGATCCAAATTTGATCCTCGAGCAAGAAAATGCATCTATATTGGACATAAAGATGGAGTTAAAGGGTTTGTACTCTATGATCTCACTTCTCAACAGATTGTCATATCCAGGAATGTTGTTTGTTATGAACACAACTTCCCATTTACTGAAGACCATACAGTATCTCATACTCCTTGGCCACTTGGTGGTGATATCAATCCAATGTCTGATATTCCTTCTTCTAATACAAATGATGCAGCATCAATTCATCAACATACTGATCTGGTTATTCCTGCACACTCCAGTGACCAATTAGAAGCAATTCCTGCACTGCCCAACCTGTCTGCCGATTCATCAACTCCAGTCATAATTTCCAATACTCCATCAGTGACAAGTGCTGCCAGACAATCGACAAGATTGAAAGTACCTCCAAAGCATCTAAGGATTTTCATTGCAACTTTTCTTCCACTACAGAGGAGGTGTCCAATGCAAATTCAGCATGTCAGTATCCTTTATCATCTATTATGACATATGACAAATGCTCTAACAAATATACTTCATTGCCACAACATTAGTGCCTTCATTGAACCAACTACCTATAAGCAGGCTTCTCAATCCCCTGAATGGATAAATGCCATGAATCAGAAAATTGAAGCACTTAATCAGAATCAAACATGGACCTTTGTTGATTTACCTGCTGGAAAACGGCCCATTGGATCCAAATGGGTATACAGAATCAAGCACAACCAAGATGGCACTATAGCTCGTTACAAGGCACGATTAGTAGCCAAAGGATACGATCAGTTAGAAGGTGTTGACTATTTTGAAACCTTCTCACTGGTTGCAAAGCCCACAACCATTAGACTCCTCTTAGCAATTGCTATCTCTCGTAATTGGTGCCTAGAGCAACTAGATATCAATAATGTCTTCCTCCATGGTGACCTTAGTGAGGAGGTTTATATGCCAGTGCCTCATGGAGTGCTTGCACCTGATTCTAACAAAGTTTGCAAGCTTCAAAAATCAATGTACGGGCTTAAACAAGCCGGTTGAGTGTGGAACGCGCGATTGACAACAGAATTGCTGCTCCTTGGCTACAAACAATCTTCAGGTGATCACTCTCTCTTCACTAAAGCAAAAGGTAACTCATTCACTGCATTACTTGTGTATGTAGATGACATGATACTCACGGGTAATGACATGTCTGAGATTAACATGGTTAAACGACATCTAGATGCTCTTTTCTGTATCAAAGATCTCGGTCCTTTACATTTTTTCCCTGGTTTAGAGGTGGCTCGTTCCAAAAAGGGATTAGTTCTAAATCAAAGGAAATACGTTTTGGAATTACTTAATGACAGTGGCTTGCTAGGAGCTAAGTCTGCATCTACACCCATGGAACCAACTCTTCGATTGAGACAGAATCAAGGTGTTCCATATACTGATCCACCTTCTTATAGACGGCTTGTTGGGAGTTTGTTGTATCTCACAAACACAAGACCAGACATTTCATTTGTAGTCCAACAGTTTAGTCAGTTTGTTGCTAATCCAATGAAAGCACATTTTAATGCAGCTTGCAGGGTTCTACGTTACTTGAAAGGTTCACCAGCCAAGGGTCTTTTCTTTCCTTCTGATAACAAGTTACAGCTCTCAGCCTTTGCAGATGCTGACTGGGCAACTTGCCCTGATACAAGGAAATCAACTACCGAATTCTGTGTCTTTCTTGGATCCTCATTAATATCTTGGAAATCCAAAAAGCAGAGTACAGTTAGTCGATCATCAGCAGAGGCTGAATATAGAGCCTTAGCAACCTTAACATGTGAAGTTCAATGGTTAACCTACCTTCTGTCTGATCTTGATGTTCCTACTTTACATCCTTCAGCAGTGTACTGTGATAATCATGCTGCAATTCATCTAGCTCGAAATCCTTCCTTCCATGAGAGAAGCAAACATATCGAACTTGATTGTCATATCACTAGAGAAAAAGTGCTTTCGGGACTCATTCATCTATTACCCATCTCAACTACTCACCAGTTAGCTGATTTCTTTACCAAGGGTCTACATCCTGGTGTGTTCCATGGTTTTATATCCAAGTTGGGTTTACACGACATATGTCTTCCAACTTGAGGGAGGGTGATAGATATCAATATTAAATATTATTAAATATTTAATATTGTTAGTTAGTTTGTTACAGTTAGTTTTTAGTTTCTGTTGGTTATAGTCATAGTTAGTAATCCACGTGGATTCTTAGTTAGTTACTTAGTTCCAAAACTATAAATAGAACCAAGCTTCTATAACTTAATACTTTTGATTCATTTTTCTCAATGAAATACTTTCAGTTTATTTTACTTTCTAAGAATTTGTAAACGGATCCTTATTCTATATATATTAAAAAAAGTGAAAATAGCTTACCAAAAAAAAAGTGAAAATAAATTTTCGAATTTATAATTATTATATTTACATTATAAGACTTTAGGAAGAAAATAAATATATAAACATTATTTTCATTATGCATAAAATATAAAAGGTTATAATTATTAATTTCCTACATACGTAGAGCGTTAAATACAGTAAACAGGAAAAGACAATTAATTACAAACAATAACACTTATTACGCAAAATATTTAACTTTATTAATTATGCTAACACCCCCTCCTCAAGACCTCAAGCAAGCATGACTGATGAGTGATTATAAAGGCCCAACTTGAGATTGGGAAAAGGATATGGAAGCCTGCAGGGTTTAACCGGGCTTGTGGATCTCAGATTCTCAGGTTCGTCAAGAGGCACGTGGAATCGAAACTTTGGCAATGAGTATAAAATGCAGAAGAATATATTTATTTATGAGTTTGATATTTTTCATTTTATAGGAGATAAAAGTATCTGTTACACACATATAAAAATATATGGGGCCAACGTAAAGAGAAGAAAAAAAAATTTACATATTTTTATGTGTGTGTACATGTGTTTAGGAGATAATAAAAAATTATCTCCTACGATATAAATACATTAAACCCATATATATTCTATATAATGTGTAAATATAGGAAATAGTAAAAGACAATAAATGAATGTATTATAAAGAATTATTTCCACCCAAAAGATTAAGTTTTCAATTGAATATTACATTAATATTTATATTATATCTTTCTAACATGTTCTTTCATTCATATAAAAGTTTATTGCATTTGATGGATGAATAACACACATGCATGCACTGTTTAGTTATGTTAAGAAATTTTATAATATTTAATTACTTATTAATAAAATATTGGATGATAAAAATGAAACTCATGACTAACTCTGATGGGAGGTAAAGAACAATTTCAACATAAAAATTTAAGGTTTTAGGTGAATGTGACACTAATGAATTTATATTATGTCCTTGTAAAATACATAAAATGGGAACAACAATTAATTACAAATGATGATATTGATTACTTTAAATAAATGCTAAATATTTAACAGCATTAATTACCCTCACAATTAGTGAAGACATATGAATTGAAAATAAAAAAAAATCAAACTTTCTGTGGCTGATATATTCATAGCACATATTCCATCTAATACCTGTTACACCTTGTTTTGTAACAGAGGAACATTATGGCAAGACGACTCCAAGTTGTTAATCTCTCTCTCAACCATCTTCTCTTCTGTTGCTTTTCCCCACATCACAGCATAAAATCCTATCACGATTATAACCGCCCCAATCAAACTGCACAGCAATTATTTGAAAATTTTGCCGTCAATGTAATAGAAAACAAAATTAAAGGCACAAGAAATTTGACCGTGTTTGGCATAATTTTGATATATATGTAAATGTGTCATTTTCTTTTGCTAGACTCAGTAAGGAATCACCGTAGGTTGACTAGTAAATATGCAACTTAAAAGTGGTTAACTTAAATAAATATAAAATTATTAATATAGCATCATCCATTAGCTTAAGTTTTTAGGTTGAATTGATTATTTATATTAATGTAACTTCACTTAACGGCTTAAACTTTTGGGTTAAATTAGTTCTTTACATACTACCAAAGCTTTTGTGATGAAGTTGTCACGAGTTCAATCTTCACCGCTCTTATTCTATTAATAGAAATAATTAATTATTGTGATCTTTCATAACACATGTGGGTTAGACCTAATGTATCATCTACTGTTAAAGCTCAATAAATTCTCGTGTGAAGGAGCATATTAAAAAAACATAAAACTATTATTGTAGTATCACCGCTTAAGCTCTTAGGTTGACAAAATTTTACCTTCCAAGTCTAAAATCATCCCCGAGAAAGATTGCACTCATGAAAACGGTGAAGATGATTCCCATGGGCTTGAACATAGCACAAAACAGAGGTCCGGCTCTTTGGACACACCAAGTGCATAGGATGTAGCGTATCACTGTTGCACATATTGCCTATTTACAATGAACATTAAACTAGTAACTTTATTAGGGAATTCAAGCACCAAATTTTCTAGGCATCTAATTAAACCAAAACGGGAAGATAAATAACGAAGGAGAGGAAAGGAAAGATGCACAACTTTTAAATTTTACCCCTTGGTAAATACTAACTAGGGTTAAAAATTAAAATATAATGTATTTCATTATTCAACCATTCCTTAGTTAAATATACTGTGTTACATATTTGAATTCCAAATTGTCAACCAGTTCCTTTTCAAATATCCCATATGAGACGGTAAACTATTACCTGGTATAAAATGGCAATCAACCCCACATCAAGCTTTAGCTCCCATTCCCTTGGATCTCTAACTGCAATAAAGGCAAAGACTGCAGACTGAATGGTTGAAAATAAGACCTGGAAGAAGACTGTGATTATTACAGCAGGGTATTTCTTTACAACTGAAGCCTGAAACGTGTGGCAGGAAAAGGTAAAAAAAAAAAAAAAAAAATTATTTTATTTTCTAGTAAAACACACTACTTGAAAGTTGAAAATAAAAAAGAGTAGGAAGTATTGAGCCCAACCTGATATATGTACCACATGGAAGAAAGGAACGAATCAACAGCACAGAGCAACCCTCCCAAGATCCAGTTTGACTGTGGTGAAAATTGAAGTATGCTAGAAGAGTCTGACAAATTTGTGTTGAAGATTGGTGGGCCCTTGTAAAATATCACAACAAATGCTCCAGTAATTGATACTATAGTTCCTATTACTTTAGCTTGGCTACTAAAATGTCTCCAATATACTTCTTCCATCCTAAACCATTAAATTGAGATAATGCTAGTTCAGATACTGCAGTTACAAATATTGTATAACTTTTATTTAAATTGCTGTTCACAACGGCAATTACAGCAACAATATTGTGGTTTTGGAAGTCTCTTCAACCATATTTGCAGCCACATCAGCCACAATACCGCATATAGCCATGTATATATTTTTTCCAATAATGCTCCATACACACACTTCCATTGTTCCACACACATCACATTTGCACAATTTTTACCATCTAATTACGGGCGTTCTCATCTCTCATCTCATTTTCTACACACGCAAAATCTAATTTTGTTATCTCACACAAATGTAAAATGATGTGCTTAAAGCTGACGTGTATTAAGTGCTGTTCCTAGTCTTCTTTACTCATGACATATGAGAGACTAATGAGAGTTTTTGCAGCTTAAGAAGGCAATTAGTAATTTTTTAAATGAATAATCATTTATACTTAATAGTTAGCAGTTAAGAATGTCATTAAATCATTTAGACTACGGTTTGAGACCTTGAGTGGTTAAAGAATCACTACCTTGTAGCCCACATTCTTTTATTGAGCTTGCAACTTAAAGTTGCAACTCAATTGTACTTCATATTCTCCGTTTCGTTCTGTTCGGTCGAATAGTGCTATCTAATATCTAGTATTTTTGTTCACAACTGCAATTACAGCCACAATATTGTGGTTTTGGAAATTACTTCAACCATAATTGCACTCACATCAGCCACTGTATTTGGTTTTGGAAGTTAATGTAGCCACAATTTCCTGCATTTGTTTGCAAATTCTCTAATTGCAACGCAACCGCAATAGCAATCTAAAACTATTAAAATAATGGGAAGGATTCCTTTATAAATTTTTTTTTATAAAACTTTACAAATTATAATATTTACTCCCAGAAGCATATAGTATAATTTGTAAAAGTTTGTAAATAGAACTCGTTCCTTTCCTTGTAATAAGGTATAAACTAAATAAAGAAATTAAAAGTACCCTTTGTTTCTTTTGACAGGTGATTTAGACCCCTTTTATCTATACTGCGTGAAGATAAGGCAACATATTTCACAACATAGCATCCGCAAATTAAAGTCCTTTTGTTTTCAATTTAAGTTGTAAAAATGTTTCAAACTCACAATCAGTTTTGGAAAAAATAAAAAAGCAGAACCTGAAAATGAGAGCAAGTACAAAAGTGAAAGCTGGAATGAGGTTAAGCATGGCCGAGGCAAGAGTAGGAGAGCTGAGTTCTATGCCAACATAAGCCATTATCTGTGCTGAGCTTCTGCATGGTAATATAATTAAATCGGATAAATTCCATTATTCTTAGAGAAAGGACAATTACATGAATGAATTTAAGCCTCCTAATTTTAACAAAAAATAATAAAAAAATAGAGTAATTTACTTTTAAGTGCAGATGGAAGCAGAATAATAGTTGATAGTAATACCAACCCAAATAGAGCAAGCAAAAAGAAGCTTCTAAGTGCAGAGAACGTGAGAGGAGGACGCTCAGACCTGCAAAGGAACAAAAAATTATCTGTTAAACTTTCTTCTTAGAAACGAAGTGAATACATCGTATTCTTCCATGCATTGCAAGAGATATATATAAAGGAAGAAAGAAGAAAATAAAAAAAAGAGAACCTATGGAGAAGCAAGGCAACGGGAAGAAGCATGAAGCAGGAGAGTGCTAAAGAATACACAAGCATGACATACTTGTTTATCCCATCAGTCATGGCAACTTTGATAACCACCATGCTCCCACTTTGAGTCAGAAGAGCCACTACCATTCCCACAAATGGCAGTAAACTGCTCATACTCATACCATTCACCCATCCTAATCCTATCATTTCTTTCCAACCGTCTCTGCAATTCCCACTTTCCTTTTCCCTTTCCCTCTGTGGTGCTCTCTATGCTTTTCTGTTTCTCTCTCTCACACACAACCAACAAAAGTCCCTACTTTTGGCTTAAATTATCACCAAGTTGCTATGCATATATCCTCAGTCTCGGTCTGATTTGATGCGACAATGGTCGCAGGAAAATTTGTAGTTTATTTAAGGGTTTTATAAGAATTATGTACTAGAAAAAGTAATTCTGTAATGTTATAGAGATTCGTTTTATGTGCCGTAATTTTTTTTTTTTCTTTTTTCTTCAAAAAGTGTGGGCTACACAAAATATTGTGTGTGTAAGAAAATTTGTTGTGTCATGTTAAATGACAAATGCAAATTCCTTTATTTAATTGTTAAAATGGTAGAAACATTGGACAAAAATAAAATTAATAAACAGTATAAATCTCTGTTAGGAGATAAAAAAAAAAAAAAAAAAATTTCTCAAGTTACATAAAAAAAATTTATCTCATGTCACAGACACATCGCAATCTGAGTCAGCATTTCTTTTTCTTTTAATCGTGAAACTCACTCAATTATGTCTTTACATGAGATATATAATACTATCTCATGTAGCATGAGAAAAGCATTACCAAAAAAATTATTTATTATGTTAGATTGCTCGAACATATAAGTATAGGACAAAAAGTAACTTAAGACACAACATATTTATTTATTTTTTTGGTAATCAAGACACAACATTAATTTTTATTACAGGTTAAATCAGATTAAAAAATATTATTCATGTTATAAAAAGAGAAAAAATCAATAATTCCTGCCCTTCATTTTATTATAATAAAGGGTTCGTTTTTCTGCAGTTACTACATATAAGTTATTTGCAATAAATTTAATATGACGTCATTTTAAGGCAAAAATTATGGTGTTTTTGTAATTTTAATTTATTTCAGGGTTATTATAGTCTTTATAATTATAATTTTTTAATATTTCAATTTTAAAATGACGTCGTTTTCGAAATAAATACAAAAAATTTATCTGCAGAAATATTTTTTTGTATAATAAATTATGTATTATTCTGTTTATATATATTTCAAAAAAATTAGTCTTTTTACAATTAATAACACAAAAATTGTATTAAATACCGAGTTAATAGGTTATGATTAAACTAATGAATTATTGATTTAACTATATAAATTAAATATATATAATAGAATTAATAAATATAAAATTAGAAGCACTTTAACTAATAATTAGAGTTAGTTTAGTAACAAATTCTATAAATTATAATTCACATGATATAGGTTTCAATTTTATTAATGGTATTTTTCAAGCATTGTATCTAAAATTTCATCAAATCAATTTTTTTGTAAATAGATATCGATTTAATACTGATTGAAACCAATTAAAGATCGATTTATAAATTTCACATCGAATCAAATGCAATGGTCCAATACCTAAACAAAATCATTTAAAAATTCAATTTATGGGTCATTCGGTAGGAGGTTTATTTCGATGGACCGGGAACACGTAATCTCATTCCAGAAACAGTAAAGAATAAGGGAGTGAGAGATAATGTTTTAAAAAGTGAGGGATTGGAAGGAAACCAAATTTTCCAAAAATAGAAAAGGGATCACTTAAAAAAACATGTTCCCGGATCACTTTATAAAATTCCATTCGGTAGGTTGAATCGCTTTTAATATCAATAGGTTAAGAGTATATACTCTTTTCGGTACTCAACAAATTTTACAATATTCGTTTTAGTCCCTAGCAAATAAAAAGGTTATTCATGGTCCTAAAAAAATTAAAGTTGATCCATTTTAGTCCTTAACAAATAAAAAGGCTATTCGTGGTCCTAAAAAATTTAAAGTTGATCCATTTTAGTCTTTTTGAGAGATTAATGTGAGTTTTTTTTTAATTTGTGAGGAACCATGATTTCAACTAAATTGATTCATTTTGGATTTTTTAAGGACCATAAATAATTTTTTTATTTGCTAGAGACTAAAACGAATATCATAAAATTTGCTGAGGATGAAAAAAAATTATTTACTCGTAAGTTCAAGAATCACCATCTTTTGGCCGACATCCTTTTACCGAGCTTCAACGGAATTGTACTTCATCTTCTCCTTTTCGTATTGTTTGGTCGAATAATGCTATCCAGTATCTAGTAATTATTAATTATAATATAAATTTTTTTTTTTTTACAGATCCCTCAATTTCCATTAATTTCTTTTAGGATTCTATTTCTTTCATTTTTCATAAGACAAACAAATTTTCAATATATACAAAATAGATAAGATCCTATCTTTATTTTTTCTCTCTTCTCTTATCTATGAATTTCATTTGTAATTTTGATTTTATTATATAAGATAACTCTTTTTTTACAATATAAGAAAATAATTTTCCTTTCTTTTAATATATCAAAAATCCATGGATACAATTCTGCAGCATACAATTATTGTTAAAAAATAATATAAACCATTAAAATTATTTTTATTAAACATTTTCAGATTTTGGTTAAAGTGATTTTTTATATGAGATAAGAATTTGAGTAAATGTAGTAATTATAATATATTTCCAGCTGCAGGTTTAACTTTGGAGGATGAGCACAACTGAAAATGGACGAGGCTATCGTTTGAAATGAGGTTCCAGTGGCTTGTAGCCATCCAATCAATGGAACCATCCAACTAAGGTTCTCATGTGAAAGTTAGACTGTCCAATCAATTTTGCACTTGGAATTTTAACAATACTTTTTGATGTTTGGAAGATTTTTTTTAAGATAAATAGGAGAAGTGAAGGTGAGTTTTCAAGAAGACCATAATTGATATCATATTTCAAAAAAATTATTCAAAAAAGTGATTTATATGTGAATTTGTTTTGTGTATAAATTGTGAATGAATAAAAAGTGTTTGGTATTCTTGGATTATTGAGAAAATAAAAAAAAAGTATGTGAAAAAGATGACAAAAATCAGGAAATATATCAAATATTTTAAATATTATTTTTTACCTACCAAATAATTTTTTGATAATATTACCAAAAAAACTCATTTTTTTCATTTTATTTTCAGAAATCAAATAATTTTTTTTCTTCTTCTACCAAATATCCCCGGCGGGTAAATTAGCGCTGGCGCGCCTTGTTCACTTTAGAAGCATAGAGCAAAGAACATATACATAATTGGAACCTTTTATTGAAATTAACGAAGAAAAAATAATTAAAATTTTATAATCTGACAACCATAATTGAATAATAAACGCAATTTCTTTTGTCACTTGCATATGATCAAAATTGAACGCTTAATTTGAAGACCTCTTTTTTTTTTTTTGGTAAAATCTTTTTCTTTTCTTTTTACTGTTGATTAATGCCTCTTTTGAGTTTCAAATATATATGTATGGGAAAGGATTCGTTTACAAATTTTTTTTACAAATTTTTGTAAGTTACACTATGTACTCCCGAGATAACATAATGTAACCTAGTGTTCTTCCAAAAGAACATAGTGTAGTTTGTAAACAAAAAATTTGTAAATATAACATTCTTTTATATATATATAAGACTTGGAAGATAATTTTGCATATATTCAGACTTAAAATTGAATAAATCTAATGTAAGTTAAATTCAAATATAGACTACTTAAAATATGTATATGTAAATAATATCTATAAGCGTGATCAGGATAACACAACTCGATTTATTAGAAGCTTACGAGAAGGATGACGTGTCATGTTAAAATTTTATATGCTTTTATTATGTAAATATTTTTATTACTTAGCAAAAAAAAAAAAAAAAAAAATTATTTATCTATTTTTATGAATATCATTAATTACAATATAATCTTACTTATATTATATCTGTGAAAAAAGACATAAATATAAAATTGTATATGATTTTCCACTATACAAATTTTATACGAGATAAACCATTCCCGCAAGATATTTTCTTCGTAAAGTTGTGGCTGAAAGCAAGGGGCTGACGACATTTGACGGTGACATTGGTAATGACTAATGAGTTGCTCCTTGCTACTGATGCTAGTTGTGTGAGTGGCCGAGTCAAGTTTGTTCTGTAATACAAGGACAACGTTTAAGTAAAGATAGGAATGCACGTGGCTGTCTAGTCTAGAACTATCTCCATGTAAGTCCAAATTTCCATTAAAATTTATATGCTATCATCCAAAAATCAATCGTGTCCTTGCTTTTTGTTCATTAACAGTGGCTCTGCAGACGAAGACGATGAGATAATGCTACATTGTCCATATTCTTCATTAACCATCTTTTCATCTTGGGCCTGGCCCCATATCACAGCATAAAACCCAATAGCTATTATAGCAGCTCCTATCATGCTGCATGACAAATCAAAATCGTACAACTTGTTAAGAAAATCAATAGGATTTGGCACTGAATTTATATAATTTCCTCACAATTGCACTTCTTTCTAGATATATCTACCTTCCAAGATATAGAGCATCACCCAGAAATATAACCCCCATGGCGAGTGCAATGACAATTCCTAAAGGATTGAACATAGCAACATATAAAGGCCCCTTCTTGCGACATGCCCATGTATGCACCACACTTCGCATAGATATCACAAAAATTGCCTACAAATGAACCATCAAATAAATAAAATTGCTAACTAAGTTCGCAAATGCAAATTGTACAAAATTATTTTTAACCAGGAAATAGTTTTTTTTGTTATATACTAATCCATACTTACTGAATAGAATATAGATATCAACTCCATATCAGGTTTAAGTATCCAAGCCTTTGGATTTCCCTCTGCAATGAAAGCTACCATGAAAGATAGGATAACAACGAAACTGCAACAAATGGTTGTTAGCATTAGCTCCGCAGGATAGTCTTTGATAGTCCAAGTCTGCATAATGTATAAGAACACTGTGATTTTAGTTACAAGATGTGAGGACAAAGTGCATGCGCATTCTTGAGATATGTTTGAGTAAGATTCACTTGCCTGCATGACAAGCAAAGTCGAAATACAAAAACTAGCAGCTGCAAGGAGAAAACCTCCGAGTAGCCATTCTGATTGCTGTGAGGAGAGGAAAGTCCCACCAAGCACATTGTTTGGAAGCACACCATTAGTCATAGGCAAGCCCTTGTATAAAGTCACTGTTAGTGCTCCTGCAATGGAGACCACAGTGCCAATGGATTTTGCCTGGCAACTTCGTAGTTTTAGATCCAGCTTTTCCATCCTGAAAACGCATATCAAAGAATTCACACTCCATTTTTAGTTCATATGTATGCAAACTCGAGATTGGTCTAATATATATATATATATATATATATATATATATATATATATATATATATATATGGGATAGGATCAACTTACACCGGTGTAAGAATAATAAATCTTACACCAAATCATAACCGTTGATTTCTGTGCATCTAACGGTTGAGATTTATTGAAAATTAAAAATTAATTAATGAGTGAGACCTAATAAATCTTAACCGTTAGATGCACAGAAATTAACGGTTATGATTTGGTGTAAGATTTATTATTCTTACACCGGTGTAAGATGATCATGCCCCTATATATATATATATATATATATATATGTTATCAATCGATTCATTAATTCCTAGAGTAGTCCGATTCGAGCCGAGTAGGATAATATATGCAACAAAAAATTTCCCATTAAGTTTTAAACAATTGTGTTTCTAGAAACTCTAACTCGATACTATTGATTAAGTTGAAAGTTGGAACCATCCTTTACCGGTTATCCACGTGGTTGGTGGTTGGTCTCATATTTTGGGGGGAAATAGATCTTCTACTAACTTTAATTAATTAAATAATTTTTCCTCTGTCTTTAATCATTTTAGCAGAGTTTATTAATTGATTTCCTTGAGATTTCTAGTTATCTTTTCCTTTTTGGTGGGAAAAAGTTAAGGGAGAGAGGAGTGTGCCCCGTTCCAAGGTGAAGGCTTGCCAGGGCTTATGGTGTTATTTACAAATAACCTTTGGTAAAGGCTTGCCAGGGCTTATGGTGTTATTTACAAATAACCTTCAAATGAAAATCCACCAGCTTAATCATCCTAGTTAAAACAACTCTCTGGCATATATCCTTTTATATACATTATGGATGGAGATGGCTATTCTCCACTATGCAATTAATCTTTCTGTACCATTGTGCAAATGCAGTTCTTCTACTAAGCTAATTTAATTTCTGTAGATGGAAAACTGTTCGTCAGTTTTTGTTTTCTATTATCATTATATTTTGACCAGATTTTCTTCCTATCTAACCCCTGGCAATTTGCTTTTTTTTTTTTTTTTTTGTGGTAAGCTAGCCAATGTGCTATTTTAATTGTTAAAATAGTAGTATTGGACTATTACGTTTCCTAATAATTGATAATTTTAAATTATTTTTCACTTTAAAAAATAAAAAGACATTAATTAATTTTTTTATCATGTTTTTGTATTTTAATTTTTTTATTAAGTAAAATAAGAAAGATTGATAAAAGATAATACAATTAAATAATCTTATATTTAAGAGAATATTAATAAAAGATAATACAGTGAAATAAATTTATATTTTTTTAAAATTTAAAAAAATAATAACTTTCCTAATCATCACAAAATTTTAAAAAGAAGAAATAAATAAAGGTACTTTATCACAGGCATTTAAACTTTCAGAAGAATAAGGATATTCTAACTACCAAAAATTCTTACTATTAACTTACTACCTATCATATCACCATTAGATCAAGGAGAGAGAATGTTAAAAAAATTTCGAAGAAAGAGAAAATGTTAATCTAATGGTGATTAAATAGGTAGTAAGTTGGTAATAAAAAATTTTGGTAGTGAGAATATCCTTCCTCCAAACTTAAAAGTAATAAGATGAATAAAAAATTTATTTTTTTATTTATTTTATGTGAAAAGTCAACAAGTGCAATGATGAAAGGCACGCAGAAACACTGTCGAGAATTGGATGGAGGTTTTGAATTGGATGGAGGTACCTGAAAATGATGGCAATTATGAAAGTATAAGCTGGAGTGAGATCCTCCATGGCTGAGGCCAGAGTGGGAGAGCTATACCGAATTCCAGTATACATAAACGTCTGTATGGAACAGCTGCTAACACAAAAAGGCCACTCAAATATTGAACAATACATGTGAACAAAAAATTGACAGCGAAGTTTTTCCTACTATTAATTACCATACCTAAGCAAGCTAAGAACAAAAATTCTGAAGATAATCCATGTATTGATTGTTGGAAGAGCTCTGCTTCTGTGAGTCCAAATAGGCAAGGCATGAAAGGGAACTGAGAATTACTGAACTAGAAGTCTAGAACTACCATAAGAAGGTTTGAAAAATTACAGCTTAATTCCAAATTAATTAAGAGTGGTTGGGCATGAAGCAACAAACCTACCTGTGATAGATTATGGTGGATGGTAACAGGAAACAGAATGCGAGGAGGTTTGAGTAGGCAACAAAAACAAAATTGCTCATTCCTTTAGATATGGATGCTTTTATCAAAGTGTTCAAACCCACATGCAAGAACTGCACCGCAATCATTACTGTCGTTACACCTGTAGCTGTGCCCTGCATTTCTTTCTATTCTCTCTCTCCCTGTAGATGTGACGATGGTAGGCGATGAATTTGGAGACAGATTACGGTAACTTGTGCTTGTGATTGACGGTAGTAGGTGATGAATTTGGAGACAGGTTTCCCTAATTTGTGCTAGTGATTCATCACTGTTTTCTTTTCTTTTTTTTCTTTGGAAGAATCACTAATATGGTATAGTTTTAGAAAAAATTTATAATGTGATTTACTTTGACGGGCCATGAACATGACATGTATTATCACAATGTGACCGACACGTGTTATAATAGGCAGCTCATATGGTTAAAAATGATTAATAATGATTAAATTATATTACATGAAATTAATGTTTCACATATTACAAGAAATAATGTTATTTTATATATATATATATAAAGTATACGAATTTTTCTTTCTCCCACATAAATTTTATATATATATATATATATGAAAAAATTATTTCATATTAACTTTTTGTAGGAGTGTTAACGGGTCGGGCTGAATCGAGTTTTGGTATTAAAATGTTAAATTAGTGTTTAAATGTGTCAGACTGACCAAGCCTGTTACCTGTTATGAATATAGTTATTGATCTATGACCTGACTTATTTACAAAAAATTAAAAATCTGATTTAATCTGTTAGCCTGCTTAAAAAGAATAAGATAATAAAATTTATCCAAACAGAATATACAATCAACAGTACTAATAATTTCATAAATATTCATAAATTTAATGTGAGTGAAATGGATTGAGGAGAGAGAGGACTATTACAAGTAGTATAAAAAATAAAATAAAAATAAAAATTAATATACTAGACCAGTCTGAACAGCGGTTGAACTTTTGAATTCGAGTCTGGACCTTTTATTAAATTAACTTTTATACAAGTACCAACAATCAATTTTAGATATATGAACTCAGTTTTTCGTGAGCGGAGGTAAAAGTGCCTTAAAGACACCTGCTTCATTTATCACCCTGACTGTTTGTCTTCATATTGATAAATTAGCAGTTGTGCCTGCTTGTCTTCATATTTACAGTTCTGCCGCTTGGTTGAATTTAGCAATCATACAAAAGAAAAGAGAGGGTGTGGGTCTCTGTAAGGAACGGCGGTAAGAGATATGGGACCATAAACTGCATTATTTGTTGACTGATAGTGCAGATTTAATGCAACAACTGATGCCCTCAAAATATATTTATTATTTATTTGTGATACGTACATAAAAAATATCATATTATTTGAAAAAATAAATAATTAAACGACAGAGCTATTTAAATGAAGTGATATTTTTTGTCCACTTATTATAATAAATTGGAGAGCACTAACCTCATTAAATTTCATTTCAGTTGTGTTTGTTCTGGTGTGATTTGTCTTTTATTTTTTCATCTCTATGCCAGAAATATATATGATATTACTGTTGTACTATTTATTTAGTGCATTTATTTAATAAAAAATAAGAAATGAATGTCATGCTTACATGAAAAAGAGAAAAAATATATTTTTTTTATCCAAATATCACTTGTTGAATGACAGATATACTTACTACAGATATACAGAAGATGATGCCGAAACATTGATTCAGTCGTTATGTGGTAGTTTGATGATACTGACAAGTGGAACCAAAGTTTGAGTCCGATAATGTTTTGTCTTCGAGTTAGCCCAAGTGGGTGGTTAGTGAGGTAATGAGATCAATAATTTTTCAAAAACACCCTTGAATATTGGAGGAGACCCAACTTTATACTCCACGGTTTTATTTTTGACCTCACAGCGTCACAGGAAAATAAAAATCTATTCTGGTAAATATAACATGTTGCTTTCACCACTATTTTTTAACAATAACTTAAAAATAAAGAATAAAATAACTAATATTTTAAAAAAATTAATAAAAATAAAAATAAAAGTACTAGAAATGTTTTACGTGTTAGTGTATGAAGTGCACCTAGCTAGCTGATGAAGCAGAGGATCAGAACCAGATGACATAAAATCATTAGGTAATGTTTATATATGGGGTGAGGTATGGGCACGGTGGTTCATCTCATGGATTTGGAATGCTGATTGCCAGGCAAAAAATTTAAATATTATAGATTAAATAAGAAATTACAAAAAAGTTGCATTTTAAAATTTATTTATAAAACTATAACAACCCTAACAACGAGTCGTGCCCTCTTTTAGACGTGATAGGGATTTGGTCGCGCCTGAAATCTCTTAACAAGTCTTGAAATGGGAGCAACCCAGCCCTTAGCCTACCAATATTTGGGTGCGATTGGCTTAGTCGTCCCCTTATTTAAACTCATCTCATCTCAACAGTACTCTCCACAATTATTCTCGCTCACAAATCCCTTCTTTTAGATGTATTATCACTTGCTTATTCATACGCTCTTTTGTGTTTTTTGTTTATCTATTTGAAATTAAGTCTAGATTCTGATTTTGTTCATGTTATTCTATATTATAATGGTAGGAAAGTGGAAGTCCAAAGTGATGCAGTTTTGAAGGCGAAAAAAGACCAACACATATCAAGTGCAACATAACAATTGACGAACTACATCAGAAAATATGTCAAAAATTAGGTCTTCAAGGTAACCAATACATCACTCAAGTCATGACAAGATTATACTCCAAAAACACATTGGTTTGCAAGTTGTGAATAATGAAGACGTAGATATGATAATGAAAGAATTTTTCGTCCAGCCAAAAAGAAAGATTTCTTATAGTTGTATGTGGATATTATCAAAGAAAAGAATGTTGTTTCACCCATCAAGTCAGTTGCTCTCAATTCTCCACATAATGCATCATCATCTCTTGGTCAGTTGTTAACATTGAGGAAGATGAAAACGACCCTGCTTGGGTTATAGATGTGGATAATGATGATGACAATATTACACATAGCTTGCAGCGCTATTAGGTGGAGTAGGTGTTTCCAGCGAGGAGTTGCAACGCTACTAACGTGGAGTAGGTGCTTCTAGCGTGGAACTGTAGTGCTACTAGCGCAGAAGTGATGCCACTAGCATGGGTTTATTTTAAGTTAGCTCACCTTCTGTTTAGTTAGTTGAGTTTCTATTATTTTGCTTCAACTGTAATCATGCTGATATAAATATATCAGTAACAATGTATTTTGCATGTTCTTGATTCACTTTCTTCTTCAATGAAAGTTTTCTCTACAATTCTTATAATATGATATCAGAGCTCAACTTGGGCTCTGTTATTCATTACTGATCTTTTCTTTCGTTTTTCTTCGTTATCAATTTTAGTAAAGTTGATTCATTATCTTTCGAATCCTTAACTCTTCTTATCATGGAATTAGCAAACCATAACTCACGTTCCTTACCGGAATACTTGACAAATTCGTCTAATCCATACTGCCTGCATCCAAGTGAAAACCCTTCCTTGGTTCTTGTATCACCGATGTTTAATGGCAAGAATTACCATTCTTGGACTAGAGCCATGAAGATGGCATTGAAATCGAAAAATAAGTTGGGGTTCATCGATGGCTCCATTATTGCTCCACAAGAAACTGATCCTCTGTCTTGTGCATGGGACCGATGCAATGCTATGGTCTTTTCTTGGCTTCGTCACTCCATTGCAGATTCAATTGTGCAGTCCATCGTATGTATAGATCAAGCCTTAAAAGTATGGAAGGATCTACATGAATGCTTGACGTATATGTCTATTTTAAAAAAAAAATCTTTGATGTTTCTAATTTAGAATTATTTTAATTTTATAAAATTTTAAAAAAATTACATTTCTGCCATTTGACCGTGTCGGACAGGGTCAAAATTGTATGTCGATACAATGTGTCCCAAAATGTTGATCGCGTGTCAAAATGTGTCGGTGTTAAAAATGTGTCTGACACGCATTTTTCAGAGAAAAAAAAAACACGTGTCTGTTCTTCATTGCCTATGACTGGAAGCCTATAACATCCAGTTGTGCGTGGCTTGAGCGATGATATAGGCTCTGAAACAGGCTGCATTTGTTGACGATGGCGTCCAATCCTACAACCCTCTTTTTGTTAACTCCCAATGTTAATAGACAGTTGCGTCTTATCCAAAATATGAGTCAGGGATGCCTCCAGTCCTACCTCCTCAGCCCGAGATGTCTCTCTAAATAGCAGAATAATGTGACCAATCTCCACTTTAATATACTTCAGAGTGTAGTTTTGGAATTGGTCGGGAGTGGTCATGAAATATAACATCTCCAGTCCATCAACCTATAAGTGACAACATTAACAAATCAAACAAAGAAAAATAGAAATTATCATGATACTTGACACGCAAAATGAAACATGTTAACTTATTCAACGTCCTATCTTCACAACCATTTTGGTAACATATCGCTTGTCTCTGAGCTTGTACCAATCCATATTCCCATGGTTGGGTGACATCAGACCATACAATGGAGGGGCATCTCTATGTGTTGACCCTTAGTCTACCATCTTTGTATGAACTTCCTAAGCTTCTGCACCCAATTATCATCTTCTTTACCCTAAAGGTATAATCGTGGTTACCTTTCAGCTTTCTAGGCCTAATAGGTATTAGCTGATCCCTGCCAAATTGTTGCATACATTTATCAGGCTTGGAATGTTTAGCAATGTGAAAACATATAAGAAGCCATCCATAAGTACTGTGCCTGATCAGATGCACCCAAGAAATGGTAGCCAATATATGGTTGTCACACCACCGATACAATAAATAAATATACAATCAATTGAATTTTCACTGCCATATGTAACCATTATTTGCAATTAAAAAAAAATATAAAACACACCTCGTCTCTGCATAATGTGTCTATTCTACCCTAATACTAATTAAGTTCATGATGTCTAAAGTGGCCTAAAGCATTAAATCTGGAAAAAAAAAAAAAAACATTAATTATAATACTTATGAAGATATAATAAATTAAGCAATACAAAAGATACAAACTAGTGTCCAAAGTGCCACTCTGACTAAGTAAGAAGTAGGATAAGGGGAGTGATGGGTGAGAATTTGATCCACGCCCAAATTTGAAGCAAAACAATGCACCCACCAATGTCAGATTTGTCCATGTTTGTACACTTGCACGACTGTGGAAACAAGTGTGCCAGAATCGCAAAGCTCAGCTATATGTCGCAATCTCCTCAAACTCCTCTGCAAGCAATGTAATGTAGCGGCATCTTATTACGCTACCCCTAGATATGTCGCCCCGGATGCATCATCCTAACATGCGCGTAATGTGCACCTTAGTGTAAAATACTGCATTCTGGGGATTAGCAGCAACTACACCTCAATGTGTATATGCTCTATCAAAGTTTGATAACTTGATATTGCCAGAAGTTAACTCAGTTCTCTTTAGGCCCATTACTAAATACTTGATTACACACTTCTGGCCAATCCATGGATGTAGATCTGGTAACTGCTTGTCTATCAGTAAGCGAGCCGAGAATAATAACTACGTCTTGCAGCATAATTGTCATATACCCCTGCAGCGTATTGAACATGTGTGTATATAGTCTCCACCTTTCAACTAGAGCACTAATGAGACTGGCATCAATCTAAAAAATATAAGACAATTATCAATGTATAGTTTCAAATATACTAATTTACAATAACTATATTACAAATCAAAATAATATGTTAAATTTAAACGACATACCTACATATGTCACATGCGCGCAATATGTATGAATTCAGCCTGAGTCATGTATTGTGCAACCAGATCTGGAATATCATTGGGTTGGGGTCCCTCAGGTGATCTAATTTCTCTGCGAATCTTTAAAACTTTGTGTGTCTCCTAGTTCCACACAGCCTGTGAAACATGCGTGTGCCGCCTGAGTATGTCCCAAACATAAGGTCCACGAAGAACTTAAGTCATGGGATCGGTCGGCTCCTACTCACGCTCGGATGCACATCGAGGAGACTCAGACAAAGACGATTCAACCATAATAGTATACTATAAAAGTTTACAAATATATTGTTATAATTTATTTAATTTCAAATATTTTACATGTCTAATAGAAGATTTAAAAATATACGTAATCACACATAAAAAATTTATTAATTTTAATGCAAAATCACTAAGCATAATAAAATTTATTATGTATGTCCTAAGTCACAGCAGACAATAAACTTGACTAACTATGAAAAAAATTAATAGGCAAAATAAAAGTATCTATGCATAATATAATTTATTAAGTATATCCTAAGTCACTACACACAATAAAATTTACTAACTATAACAAAGAACAAAATCAATATATCAAAGCATAATAAAAAAATTTAAGTATGAATGAAATCCATGTCCATATATTATAAGTCGTTATAATTGTCCTAAGTCACTTCTCATAACCGAACTCACTAACCATGTTCCAAGCTACTAAACATGTTATAGGTCACTGATCGTGTCGCTAAGTATATCTCGCTAAGTATATCCCAGGTCACTATTCATAAAATAAATCGCTAACAATTTCTGTGGTCACTAACAATTTTCCTAGGTCACTATTATAACATATCTATTGCTATAATTTAAATATATAGAAAGTAAATATTAAGATTTACTTGAATGACAGAGCTTCCCTACGCAAAAAATTCAGAGAGAATTCAGACAGAAATCTAGAAAGAAGTCCTAGCAAAATCTTAGAGAAAAGCTAGAGAGATGGAGTGAAGTGAAAAAATGAAGTATATATATAAGGGCGGGGTCTCTTCTGAAATGGTCGCACCCAAAATGAGACGCGACCAAGCTCATGTTGCACCTGAATGAGGGCGTGACTAGTTGTTACAAATTCATAAATAAATTCTAAAATGCAAAGTTTTTATAATTTCTTATTTAATTTATAATATTTAATTTTTTTTATTGTTACTCCTAAACCCTTAAGGGGTGTTTGGTTTGGGTTTTCTTATGAAAACCCCAGGCATTACATATTGACATTTTATGAATACAATGTTTGGCTTTTTGACCCTTAATTAATAATTAATTACCAAATTGTCCTTCATTCAAAACTATTTCGAAAATTTACCCTCCCCAACAAACATAACACCAATCTGCCCCTGTTTGACCGTTGACCACAAAGCCTACCCGGGTACACCCTTACCTACCCGGGTAATTTTTGAAAATTTTTATCTACCCGGGTATGTAGGGGTGTACCCGGGTAGAGTTCTTGAATATGGGAAAATGGTTGAATTATTTACCCGGGTATGGAGGAGTGTACCCGAGTAAACATCGACGGTAGGGTTTTTAAATACCCCAGCAGCCCCATTTCGAAAACCCACAAAAGGGGTACCCGAGTAGAGCTGCTGGAAGTGTGTCTTCTTGAGCGATTTCAGGCATAATCTTGCACCAATTCGTCTTGTTTCTGATCATCATTCGCGGACCTTGCAACTTCTCTGCCTTCTACCGATTGAAATCGTACAACTGTATCTTCTTGACCGGTACAGTGTGCAGTAGTGGTTGTATGCACCGGTAAAGATGAAGATTGACCAACATCAACTTCAACATATATCTCAATATATTTTAATACTTTCCATTCAACAAACGCATCTGTTACGAACTCCACATCTTCTTCATCATTTATATCGTTTCCAATGTAGTATATTGTATCCATATCCACTACAGTCTCTAACCTGGCTATCATGCGGTGGATGGAATGGATGCCTTCTGACCCCATTTTTTGAAGAATTCTCTCCTTCAGTTCATTGCATGTAGTGCCCACTTTGATTTTCATCGTTTTTGTTTTTCCTTCAAGTCGGACACCGTTCGGACCTTCAAAATGCCTCCCATTATAGTAAATAACTATAGGAACCATGTTTGGACTTGAACTCATCTTTCACACAAAAATTAGATCTAGGTTTTGGGTTTGGAGGTTGGTTCGGATTTTTGAGCAAAAAATGGGAGTGTGGAGATGTAATCTCAATGTCCCACCAAGATTCAGCTTTCTGAAATGATGAGATGAAATATGTGTGATGTTTCGGATTAGAGAGGGTAAGAGAGAGAGATTTGGGGTTTCAAAAACCCTATACCTCGCAACAATGGCTGAAACCCATACATATTGGGGTTTCTGGACGCGATTTACCCGGGTACACTCCTCCATACTCGGGTAAATAATTCAACCATTTCCCCAGATTCAAGAACTCTACCCGGGTACACCCCTACATACCCGGGTAGATAAAAAATTTCAAAAATTACCCGGGTAGGTAAGGGTGTACCCGGGTAGGCTTTGTGGTCAACGGTCAAACAGAGGCAGATTGGTGTTATGTTTGTTGGGGAGGGTAAATTTTCGAAATAGTTTTGAATGAAGGACAATTTGGTAATTAATTATTAATTAAGGGTCATAAGGGTCAAAAAACCTACAATGTTTGGTTAAACGTTTTTAAAAAATTTCCCAGCCAACTGATTTGGCTATGCTTCCACAATTCTTTGCAAAAAGTAACAATAAACACATACCAACAATGCCACTTTGAAAGTGGTATTGTATGATAACTAGGCAAATGAGATAATAGAATGAAAGATTTGACTGAACTATCCTTCTATTATGGGCGTGCTATGTGGAAACTCTCTACAACTTCAATTATTGGCGTTAGAAATTCTAAATTTCTAACTCTGCAAAATCAAAAGCTAGTCTTTGGCTTTTGTATTAAAATTCAGTTATGCCATAGTGCAGTTCATTGGTTTTCCAAAAATATTTGTATTAATATTAAAAAATTAATAAGGGGTTACTTTTGTAATTTTATACCTTTTACCCCTCAATATTCTATATTCAACCAAACATAGACTTCAAAAACTTTAATCAATTTGCTTGGTAATATTTTACCTAACCAAACAATTTTTTTTAACTTTTATACCTAATTCATTTTTCCTATCCCTGTTAATTACATTTTCTTGGTAAAAAAAAAAAATTTCACCTGTACCAAACGTCCCTTAAAGTCAAGTGTTGTTCTTGATGTTCAAGAGATATCATCTGGTGTACGCCACATTGCTCGAGTTGCTAGGCAAGGGTCGGTGTTTTCTTGGGAGAGGAATCTGGGGGAAGACGTGGTCATGGAATTGACAAAGATTTTGGTCACCCTCATTGTTGAGTTTCTGGCAGTGACTAGTGTGGATTTTGTTGCACGTGGAGAGAATCATACAAGTGCTGTACATATCTACATCAAATGGGGGTTATGGCACATATTAATGTTGGGCTTCTTGGCCATGGCACTGATGTTAGCCATTGGATACCAAAGAGAGTTCGTTTTGCTTTTAGAGTAATACAAAATGGCAGATCGTGTTGCTTGGTAATGAATTTTTGCCTTTTTTATGTGGAAAATTTTACACCCAATATTGGCCTTATGATTACCAGAGTTCAGCATGCATGTCAATCATTATGTTGTAACTTTTTTTTATTATGTAGCTGTAGTCATTATGCAGTTACCGCTGAAACCATCTAAGTAAATAGTTAACCCACTTCAAGATGAGTGATCTCCTATGTCATTTTTTATTTTTATTTTTTACATCACTTGATTGAAATTTTTAACGTTTGATCACTATATACAACTGTTTCTATTTCCCGCATTTTTTAGCGCAAGGACATGATATGCGTCATTGTTGAGCAAGATTCCCTGCTAAGATGCTGCCACACAAAATGCAGGATCATTTACACACCGGTGCTTTTGGCCGACAACAGAGGGGTTGTAGAAGTTGAGGCAGAATCATAGGTCTCCTCCTTCTTATTAACCACATTTTCCTCTTGAGCCTGCGCCCACATCACAGCATAAAACCCAATAGCTATTGTTGCAGCTCCAATCAAGCTACACCAAAATGTAAACCCAATATTAAACATTATAGTTCTGGTTTTCACCAATTAAATTATGTTTCACAAATTTGCTATTCTCTTAGAGTTATTTACCTTCCAAGATAAAGATTGTCTCCTAGAAATATTAACCCCGTGCCAAGTGCAATGACCATTCCTAAAGGGTTGAACATAGCTACATAAACTGGCCCCTTCTTACGACATGCCCATGTGAACACAACACTCCTCATTGATACCACAAAAATTGCCTACAAATAAACCACCACAAAAACTAAAACATAGGTACCAATTCAGCATATATGTCAAAGGTCCTATTAATAAGGTTCATACTTACTGCATAACAAACAGCTACAAACTCCTTATCAGTTCTGAATACCCAAGCTTTTGGATCACCCTCTGCAATTAGAGCTACTATGGCGGATAGGACTACTACGAAGCTGCAACAAATGGTTGTTACAACTAGCTCTTCAGGATAGTTCTTGATAATCCAAGTCTGTTTATGGATAGATAGAAAACCCATATAAATGACTTAACATTCTAAATTGCAAAGACAGTGTGCTGTGTGCATATTCAGAATGGTTTGTTTACCTGGACAATAAACAAAACTGAAAGGCAAAAGCTAGCAATTGCAAGAAGAAAACCACCAAGTAACCAGAATGATTGCACTGAGAGGTAACTTCCACTTCCACCCATTACTATATTTCGTAAGGGACCACTAGTCAATGGCACCCCTTTATATAAAGTCACAATTAATGCCCCTGCAATGGAGACCACTGTGCCAATAACTTTTGCCTGACAGCTATGCAGTTTCAGATTCAAATTTTCCATCCTGAAAGGGCACATCATATTCACTTTACTTTCTTTTTTCCTCGTGTATTATAAGGGTTAAAGAAGAGTAGGGTGATTATAATAATAATCCATTAAAGCTCTCTATTAGAAAATTTGAAAAAAAAAATAACCACTCGCTCACTATCATAATAAACAATTAACTCACCACCTAAAAGCTTGAGTGAAGGAAAATATCTTCGGGACTATAGGAGTACCGAAGACTGCATCATTTATTCAATTTTAAAAAAATAATATATTTTTCATATCATTATATCTTTTCTTGTAAGGTTATTTTTCCATAAACCATTTTTTTTTACAGAGTACATACTACAGTAGCATCAAAAATATACTCTTGAAGAGAACTTTGTAATTTTGATTCAAATTTTCATCACTATTTTACAATTAACTAAATATAACATCATAAAAAATAATCTCATTTTCGGAAATATTTTTAGCTACTAAATAATTTTTTGATAATATTATAAAAAAACTCATTTTCACAACATATTTTCAAAAATCATAATTTCTAGATAAAAAAAATTCTCCATATCAAAGTTCCTCTTATATTAAATTTCTCTATGAAATTGAAGAGAACAAACCTGAAAATTACTGCAAGAATGAAGGTAAAAGCAGGGACAAGGTCTACCATAGCTGAGGCCAGAGTGGGAGAGCTATATCCTATACCATTATACATCAAAGTCTGAACTGCAGTACTGCACAGCTAGCTCAAGTTCACTGAGATTCATAGGAAAAAAAATAATTCACTCTAATAATTTGGTGCTAACTTTATTGTTCATACCTGAGACAGCTAAGAAGAAATATTGTGCAGAGAATTGAGGTTGGGATTGGTGGAGGAGCTCTCTTCCTGCGAATTTTGTAAGTGTCAAGGAACAACAAGAGAGAGAGAGAGAGAGAGAGTCAAATACCATTCTATTAACACAGTTTGTGAAAGAAAGCTTAATTTGCAGTTAATAAGCCTAAATAAAAGGGTACACACCTGTGGTAAAGAAGGGTGGATGGTAGAAGGAAGCATAGAGCCAAAAGGTTTGAATACACAACGAAAACATAATTACTCATTCCATTGTTGGTGGCTGCTTTGATTAGAGTGTTCAAGCCCACTTCCAAGAACTGAGCTGCAACCATTGCAGCTGTTACACTTACTTCTCCACTCACCATTTCTCTCTGTCTTTGACTTTTCCACTAATTTGCTTCTTCTCACTTCTCTTGGACTGTAGTAGTTTGAACTGGCTTAATAGTTTGATTCTACTTTGACACTTTCCTGTGAACCCACAAATAAAAAATTGAGAAATACTCCTATCTAGTTTTTTAAACGATCTAAATAATAACAAACAATATCATTTCATCCTTTCATTTTTGTTATCTTTCATTTCATCCGTTTCCATTTAATCGTGTAGCATACCAGTGACGACACGGAGAAATAGGAAAACGTACGTCGTCATCAAACATTAATTATTTGTGGGCAAAGTGGCCTAAAAAATAATATATATATATATATATATATATATATATATTTTTCAAGCAGTTCGATGTAAGTTTATTTCTGACTATCCCAAAATTATGTTGTTTTATTTATTTATTTCTTTATATTAATTGATTCACCTTAGAATGGTTATGATTCCCTCTTTCTCTCTCTTTCTTTATCACCATTGATCTATCTTTGTACGGTTATGATTTAGTAGCCCAAAATAAGATTATCTCTAACAACTTCAGAAACGACAAGCTTATTTATATATATATATATATATATATATATATATATATATATATATATATATATATACGCGTAATGAAAATAACTTTATTTTGTGCACATATATAAAATGAGTAGAATGTATTTTCTTTTCTTTTCTTTCTCCTATTCTCACAGGGCCCATCCATTCTCGCGCACATCTTTAATATTACAGGAATATATACTTTTTTACTAATTGTCAATAACTATAAAAGAGGCGGTAAAAAGAGAAAAATTAATTATATTACACTTTATGTACCTAGTTTTCAATATTTCGAGAGTATCGAAGATATTTTCCTTATTCTCACATGAATGGCAGGAAATAAAGTTATTTTTATATTATAAAAATACTATTTCTCATATATATATATATATATATATATATATATATATATATATGAGTTTGGTGTTTATCATTTAAAATGACATAAGTAATGTCATTTTAGAAGATAGATAGACACAAAAATAAAAATCATGGGAGAAAAAAAATGGGTGAATTTTTAAATTTAAATTTTAAATAAAAAAAATTATTTTGTGACTATCTCTTTCTTAAAATGACATAACTTTAGTCATTTAAAATGACAAACACTATATATATATATATATGGGTCAGGATCATTTTACACCAGTGTAAGTTACACTCTTGATTTTGTCCGTTGATCCAACTTATATCTAAGGGTTCTAATTTTTTAGTTATGTGAGCCATTGGATACAAGTGGATCAATGGTCAACATTGAGTGTAAGACTTCTAACTCTTACACCGGTGTAAGAATATCCTGCCCCTATATATATACATATATATATATATATATATATATATATATATATATGTATAAAAGAATTTTATAAATATTATATTGTAGAAAAATTGTTAGATTATGTTATAGAAACAACGATGGTTGAACCCATTATTGTTTTCAAAAAAGAAAAATGTGGGACCCGCCATTATTATCTTTAGGGAAAAATATTTTTGCAATTACTATATATAAGTTATCTGTATTTATTCTCAAAACGATGTCGTTTTGGTATTGAAATCTTAAAAAATTATAAATGTAAAGATTATATAGAATAAATTAAAATTACAAAAATTCCATGATTTCAGCCCCAAAATGACATCGTATTCGGCTTACTGCAGATAACTTATATACAGTAACAGCAGAAAAAGCGAACCCTTATCTTTATAATATAACCTGACAACTTTCCTACAACATAACAACTTTTCTACAACATAACATTTATAAAACCGTCTCTCATATTATAGGAAAAATATCTCTTATACTAAGACACAAAGTGCAGAGGCCCACCACTAAAAACAAAAAAAAAAATAACAAAAAAATTATCGAAGTATTTATGACATAAAATAATAATATAGTAAAACATGAATATGTCTCTTGTTAAAATGGTTATAATGACACGTGTTACTTAGTAAGTTAAAACTCAATAATAATGTCAACCTATTTTCATAAAATTATTATTGACATATTTCTACATACAAAAATTACATTGGAATTTGAAACGTGTATAATATATGAATAATTTTCATCTTGTACTTAAATTAAAGTTTATTTTTATTTTTGACTTTAATATTTCTGCATTGAATATAGATAAATTATTTATATTCGTTCCTAAAACGACGTTATTTTGAAGTGAAAAATTATAGTGAAAAACTATTATAATCCTAAAATAAATTATAAATTATAAAAATATCTTGATTTTTCATTTCAAAATAACATCATTTTAGACTCAATGTAGATAAATTATCTAAAAAAGTGAACCCTTTATTTTCATTAGAAGAATGTGAAGAATAAAAATTAAACTCTTGACTGTTAAATATAAAAATTATAATGTTAAATAAATAAATAATTCACCCAAAAAGTCACTATGTTAGATAAAGACAAATATATTTTTTATATAAATATCTTTCTAATAGATAAAGACAAATATATTATTTTATATAAATAAACTTCTCCTTAAGTTGATTTGCACGTACATCTTCTTCTTTTTTGGGTAACAATATTCTTTCTTTTTGCATTGGTTTTGGATTGTTTATTTCCACTTGTCCAGCTGGTGGATTTCAAAGATCTCAACGTTGACTAGTGCCCTCCGATTCCTCAATCACTTTATACATTTGTTGACAATTAGGCTCTTGTTATACCTTTTGAAAGAAAAGACAAAAGGCATCAGAAACTTTCGCTAAAAAAATTGGCCTTAATTGTATTTTTATGCTTTTATTTGGATTATATGCGATTTTGATTCTTTAATAAATTTTGATTTAATTAAGTTTTCTTATTTTTTTTTAACTAAGCAATCAAGTGTTTCTATCAGTATGTTATTCATTTGCTAATAAAAATAGCTAACTTGACACACAATTGCTAATTGAACAAACATCTTTTTTTTATCTCATCTTGTTACAAATTATATACTCATACTATTTTAATTCATATTATTTACACTTTAAGAGTGTTTATTTAATGCAAACACATTTTTTTATTGTACTCTTGAATTATCCGATCATACGTAGAAAAGTTTGAAAAGATTTGTAAAGGTTATTAAATACTCATAATTTTTGTGGAAATTGTAAGGTTACTAAATTCTCTAAAACGTTGAAACTTGATAAAATAATGAAAAACTATTGAGTGGTTGCAGTTTGAACATAAGTCACAAGGTGGTGATTGAACCATAATAAATAATGTTTACATTTTCTCTTCCTTTGTTCTTTAAATTAAAGCACTTTAATATATTCTTGAATGTCTTGTTTGGCTAATAGAAAGTGTAGAGTTGTGATATGTGGACCTATGATTTTTTTATAACAGACGGCAAAAATAAAATTTAAAATTATAAGTATTATTAAGACTAATTGGAGATACTAATTATTATAAATATTTTTGAAGAATGAACTAATTATTAGTACTAACAAACTATTATTATTAAAAAAATATTATTTAATACATAATATAATTAAAAAATTAAAATTTAGGAAGGGACGTGATATGAATAATTACATAGGTCCACCAGGGTTAAGGCCCAAAAAGGGCCCAAGCAGTATATAGGCTTCATAACTCGCGAGACATGCTTCGCGCAAAAGGACCAAGGAGCGCAATGACTTCATTGCGCAGAACCGTCTTATGTAACTAAAAGTTAATGAAGGATTCTATAAACATGCTGAGATCCACCGCGCATACAAACCAACACACGAAAGACACCTCCAGCTTGCCACCACTTTAAAAAGACAGACAAATGTGTAGATTTATAGCCTGAAAGACACCAGCTGAGACAAATAAGTCTGCAGCTCATAACAACCATTAAGAAGACATACACATTTACCAAAGGCGGAATAAGACTTGCTATATATATGAAGGGTATAAACTCAGGTATGATAATCTTATTCTCATAAAAACATAACATAAACCTTGTATTGATACTGACGTGAGCGTCAGAGTATCTCTGCAGATACTCCCAATAAACTCTATTGCGCCTGAAACATACACCAATAATCATCTATACAGTGAACATTAAAGCCCACAAAGTACTATTCACAGCCCAAAGTCTTTAACCTTCTGTATGATTTAGTTCAATCTATATTGGATTGATATGATCAGGATGAACATTAGTCCAATCGTCCGCCGTGATCTTGGTGTTTGATTGTTGTTTCAACATATTGATGGTCGTTTCATATATTAAAGCTTGCATGAAATATTAACTTTGAAACAAAAATGGGGCTCTTGCAAAAAAATTTGTATAGTCAATTCACTTCTTTTTTAGTACAGAATCTGCATTCCTAACAAATAAAATAACATGCTATTTGACCAAAATGTCCTTATCTAAAAAATTATCAATCTATTACATTTTGAAAACTATTTATGAATCGTTATACAAAAAAAAAAAAAAAACTATTTATGAATCTATTTCACTTATACACAAATTGATGACATGGACCCACTAAAAACTATAACTTTACATGTGTCGTAATCTCATTCATCTTTATTCATCAAAGCAAGATAAGTTGGTAAATAAATTTTAAAGTGTGGTGTGTGTATATATATATATAATGATTTTATAAAATATCTTTATTTTTTAATTAAATACTTTTATTATTTATTATTAAGAAATATTGTTAAATTAAATTTATTTTTGTTCTCAAACCTCTTTTTCCCAAAAAAAAAAGGTTAATTAATTAAATATACCCTATTCAAACTCAATAGGTTGGATTCATTTTTTTTTATGTAGGGTTTTTACTGGACCTTTATAAACTTGAGTGTTTCCGGCCATTGATTTCAAGTTTTTGTTTTGAGATATGTGCATAACTCTTTAGGAGTATTTGATAGGACGATTACTTTTAGATGCTTGGAAAATTGATGATAGGTTTTCTAGAATTCCATGTTTGATAGTATATTGGGGAATTTCTTTTTTCAAAAAAGTTATTTTCCAAGAATATCTTTTTGTATGTATTTTCTAAATCAAAATAACACCGAAAAATACCGTTCAAAAAAAAGTATTTCAAGAATCT